TCAAAGATTCATAATTTTACCTTTAAAGCCTTCATCAAAAGGTTTAAAATTTCTTTCTTAGATGACTTTCAAACTCAAAATTTAGCATGTAATGAATGTCATGATCAATGATGCAAGTGCTTTCTTAATGATGCAAATGCAACAACAACCTAGATCCTCACAATGTCATATTCTTAACAATGCATATGTCCATGTCATGAGATTCTAGTTAATTGTGGTACTCAAATTTCTCAAGCTCTTTCCTTGGGTTCCAAACCCCTAATTTTCAAGTACTAGGGCCAAATCAGTGTAACTTTCAATCATCTCTTTAATTCTCATCTTTTTTTTTAATAAATCTCTTTTCAAATTCAATGTCCTTATCAGGAACTGAACATTTCAAATTTGCCTTTATCACTATCTACCTTTCCAACATAATGTAAAAATCTTTCATGCTATTATTCATTTATCAACCATTATTTTAATCTCAAAAAGTAAGAATTCATTCACACATTTCCTTCATTGTAAGGTATTGAAGAGAAAAAAGTAAGAATGACTAGGAAATAATCAACCGAAGATATACATTAAGAATGAAATTGAATGTCTTTTATTAGCAAAAATGATAGCAAACTTGGCCAATTGGAAAAGAAAGAATTACAAAAATGGGTATAAAGGGACAAAGCCCAAAAATAAACAATCCTGCAATCATGATAACATATCTTGAAGTCTTTTTTGAAAAATTCAACCACTTAATACATTCAACAATTTATAGTTTCTCAGATCATGCTGGCCTCTTTGCCAATGAATTTTTATATTCGATGTTGTATTCTCCTTATCTAAGCTACCTTTTTCAGGTTTTCAACTTAGATAAACTCCATTTTGACTCAAATTATCCTTTTAGGGTTTTTTCCTTAAGTCCTCTTTTTTTTTTTTCATTTTTCCATTTTTTTTCTTTTTCACTTTTTTTTTCTTTTTTTTTCAAGCATAGTACTTCTTCACAGCATTACAATTTATAGGATGAGGTAAATCATCTCTATCCATCTCAGTTAATATCAATGCTCTATCTAAGAAAGCTTGTTTCATGACATATGGCCCTTTTCAATTCGGAGTCCATTTTTTTCTGTTACCGTGCTGACTTGAGAAAATTCTTTTCAAGATCAACTTTCTTTCTCGAAAATAACAAGGTCAAACTTTTTTATCATGAGCCATCATCATTCTTCTCTGATATTGCTGACCATGGCATAATGCTGTCAATCTCTTTTTTTTATGAGATTTAACTGTTCATAGCACTCTCGAATCCATTCAGCCTCTTCTAATTCAATTTCTTTTAAAACCCTTAAAGATATGATTTTCACTTCCACTGGCAATACAGCTTCTATCCTATAAACCAAAGAAAATGGGGTTGCCTCAATAGAGGTACACATCGATGTTCAATATGCATGCAGTGCAAATGATAACTTCTCATGTCAATCTTTATAGGTCTCAGTCATCTTCTCAAGAATTCTCTTTATATTTTTGTTTATCACCTCAACTGCCCCATTCATTTTTTAACAGTATGGCACCGAATTATAATGCTTGATCTTGTACTAGGCACATATTTCTTGCATAATTTTACTATTCAGATTCTTGGCATTGTCTGAAATGATTCTTTTTAGAAGTCCATATCTATAAATGATCTTTCTTTTTATGAACTTGTAGACCACAGATCATGTTACATTTCCAAATGATGCTGCCTTCACCCATTTCATGAAGTAATCTATCATCACCAAAATCTATTCTTTCGACCATCCCATATGCCCTTTTATCAGTGAAAGAGAATTTTCATTGTTTAACTCCATAAGTTTCTGGAATGAATTGTTCACATCCGGATTGTCTTCTCACCAAGGTTGGGCCATAAGTAATAGCACCTCATAAGCCTAATAAGAACACCCACGACTGATTTTCATAACTTCATAACACTGTATCATGATGCATCCAAGGTGCTCTCCAAACTATCCCTTGACTATCAAGGGCTCAAAAGTAAGAAACCCATTATTCTTTTGACTTTTTTTGAGGCCATGTACTATAACAAAACTCTTTGATTGAGATGCTGGGATAAAGGTATGGTTTACGAAGTTAACTTTTTTTACATTCAATGTGACTCTTCATCCATACATAAAGTAGCTGTAAGCATCCATTGAATCGACCTTTACCATTTCGAGAATAAAAATTTAGAGAAAGAATTATTTTTGCTAAAATGGTTAGTACTGCATTGACTTTATATGCTAATTGATCAACAAAATCTATTACTGTAACATCGATACACCCGATGACTTTTGGGAAGATCATCAGTCCATATAGAGCTATAGCCATAGCCGCTAATCTCTGATCATCATCTGTATGCCCCTGGATGAAATCTCACAAAAAACTTAATAGGATAGCCTTACTTTCACCTTTTGGTATTGATACATACATCAACTTGAGGTAAGCTAAGTCCAAGCATTTGCACTAGTTTTTTATGATAACCTACCTTATTTAACCAGTAGATCTTATCTGGGTTTGGCAAGTCGAAGTGAAGTAGGACTATGTACTCTTCAATTGTATGCACCATATCTGCTTCATTAAAGATAAAACATCTATAAGAAGGATCCCAGAACTGAATGATGACTCTAATTAGATTATTATCCACATCCACCAGAAGCAATGAAGCTGTGTCTTCATATTTATTCTCAAATGCCTCATACCTTATTTTACTCATACATTTCCAGACACTACTTAAGTCAATTAAATCATTTTTCTGTAACTCAAGATGAACTCTCTCAGGTAATGATGAGATAAAACCCTTAGGCAAGCAATTTTCTTATTTTTTTTTACCTTCTTCTGACTTGATTTTCAATTTATGAGTAGACTCATAATGGACTAATGTAGATTTTGATTACATTTGGCTTTCATGGATGTAAGTGTGAGATCTGATTTATCAATAATTGATATGTGGCAAATATTTCCTATATGACAATGATGCAAATGATAATGTTAAACATGATTATGAAAATGATGCATAGAATGAAATGATATGATAATCTTAAAACATGAGCATGAGTATAATGCATAGAATGAAATGATATGAAAATGGTGTAGATGCATAAAACCAAATAAACAAAATGGTTAGATAACAAACTGTTCCTTCTTATGTCCTAATTTTGGGTTATATCTATTGATGGGTAGGAATGGCTCTATCCTAAGGCTGGTCTCTTAGGGGTGAACTATATGCAGAGTTAAGAGATTTTGACCACTAAAAGGTTTCTAAATTGTTCCTTACATCATCATCCATCATAGACTAGTAAGGCAATCCAATCATCACCCATCATAGGCTACTAACGAAAATGATTCAATTTGAATGGGAGTATTTCGCTAGCCATTATGAAGATTGTCATCTCACGATAGCGTAGGTACTTTACTCCCTTCTAAGAGGGATGAAGCCCGAGTATAAAGCTCATATAATGTAAATGCATGCGATAGTGTATGTAAAGGAACATATAAGTTTCATGCCAAAAAAAAATCAAATAAAAGTCAAAAAAAGAAAAATTATTAGTAAATAGATAACACAAATCATTAAAACTATTAGACTAAAAGGATATGATAAATTTAAAAGTTTATGGCATGACTTTCTATAGCATCCCCAATAGAGTCGCCAAACTGTCATAACATATAGATCTGTAAATCTATAGCAAGACTTAACAAATGGATAGAGTCGCCACCAATCTTTTTTACTAGGTGTGATTGGTCATTTAGTTTTACCTCAACCACTTCTTTATCGTTCCAACTTTAGATTTCCCAAAATCTAACCCTAAAATCTTAGATCTACAAACAAAATCACGACTAAAAAACCAAAAAGAGATCAATCTCTGTCGCTCAAAATGGAATAGCCTCCCACCAACCATTGTTTGGCAAATTTTTTTGCTACTTGTTGTTTTTGGTTATTAATTCATTTCCTTTTCTTGTTTTTTGCTTGTGTGGTTTCCTTTATAAGGAATAAGCTTGTAGTTTTTGCTATGTTTTTTATTTGAGTAATTTTGATGGTGATTTGTTTAATGTTTGGTTATTGATGGTTTTTATTTTTTCGCCTGTTTGCTTGTGATGTTTTTCCCTGTAAGAAATGACTTATATTTTTTGCTAGTTTTGTTTAGTGTAATTTTCGATGGTGGCTATTTGATGAGTTTTGGTTAGACGGGTAGAAAGAGGTGGTAAAGTGGGAGGTGGTGACACTATGTAAGTATTTTTTGTGTAATTTTAATGAAATTTTGTTGTTAGTGAGCAATAGTCGACAATAGAAATAGGGTGGAGGAGAAGCTGTTGGGTTTTTTTGTAGAGAAAAAGTGAGAGAATGAAAAGTTTAGAGAGAGAAAAGGAAAAATAAAAAATTTTGAGGTTTTATAATGCAACTAAATAGTGTGTTTAGGGAAGAAAGGAAATGAAATGAGAAGAAAAACAAAGAAAAAAGAAAAGAAAAAGAAAATCATCGAAAGACACTATATGGGTTGCTAATAAGTGGTCAAATTGAGTAAAATTAATAGTATAGATGGATGGATGGACTAGCCCATGATAATCAATGTTTTTTAATTAAATACTCATTTTGTCTCAAATTGTTTGGGTATTTTTAACTTTCATAGAGTTTAAGAAAAAGTTTTAACTTTAATATATTTAATATTAAAATTTAAATTGTTTTATAAAATTAAAGTTTCATTATTTTTAATGTCAAAAAGTAAAAAAATCAAATAATTTTAAAATATAAAAAGTAAAACTTTTAGATATTCAAAAAAAAAAAAAGTAATTTTAGAACACCTAAAAAATAAAACATGGACAAAGAAAATGAGACGGAGTGAGTAACCGTTTATTATCAGTTTAATTAAAATGATTTTAACAACTCACTCTTTATTTTTTTTATCTAGCCATTTAAATTTTTTTTTTTTTTTAAAAAAAGGATATCAATATATATTTTACCTTACCTAACACATATTTATCACTTTTTTTCTTCAATTATTTACCAAACCCATCCATCTCTCTATCTCTTGCTGTTCATATAATCTCTCTCTTCACCCTTTTGCAACTATTTTTTTTCACCGTTCTCTAACCCATCTATCTCTCATTTCATCCTTCAATCTTTCACACCATCTTTGTCTCCCACCTTTTTACAGATTTTTTTAATTTTTTATTATTTCTTCAATGCCCATAGACTAAACATGTCTTTTCAAATGAATTCTTCGTTACAATCGCTTTGATCCATCCCTTTTGATGAAAACCTGTAATATGCCCTGAGGAATTTCTACCAGCAAAAATGTCTACTTATTTTTTACCTTTGGTTACGATTATGGCTGATTTGTCCATGCCTCAATTTCTTAAAGGTAATGGCATTATGTAAGAATATTTCTTAACAATTGCACTAAATTAGGATTTTGATTCATATAATTTTTTTTCGTAATTGTTCAACCCTAAAACACTAATTTCAATTCCAGCAAGTTTGACCATAAAATTACAAATTAAGCTTCTAGATTTCATTTTCCACATTGAACCACACATGTTAATGACTAACTTTAAATCTCTAACAAAAATTACTCCCAAATTGGTATTCTTTTATTTTTTTTTATAAGAGTTTGGTTTTTCTTATTATTGTTATTATTGAAATTTTGGTTTTTTTAGATTGTTGATCTAAAATTTCTTGCAATTTCAAAGAAAAAACTGTTTATGTTTTAATTTTTAATTATATTAAAGGTTGGATTATTGAATGTGGAAGGTATTATAGCAGCTTACTTTCTTCATTTGACAAAGGAATTGAAGAATGTTTCATTGATAATTTTGTGAGAATATTGTGGTTATTGAAGAACTTATTAGAAAAATGGAGGTTTATACATCTAATGTAATTAAAATTCAATAGTGTTTATAGAATTTTGAAACTAATTTTATTGAATTATTGGAGATGAAGACAGAATAATGCGCTTGTATTAGTAAGGATGATATATCATTTTGCAACTTTAGAATTTTTGTTCTTATTGTTATTATTTTTGGATGCTTTTTGCAATTACGTATTGAGCTTTAACATGTGAGGACTTAGGATTCAATATATAAATCAATTTTTAAAAACAACCCGACTAGTAATGAAAAGGGTATAATAAACATATAAATCAATAAAAATCAAATGGTAAAAACGATTGAATTTTTAAAATATGGGTTCTCCTTTTTTTGCCAAAATATATTTTTTTCTTTCTTACAAATTTACTTTCATAACTATTTATAAAAATGATTAGTAGTCAGATATTTAGAATTTGTTTTTTCCTTAGTTTGTCAAAGTTTTTTTTTTTTTCAAAGTAATTGTTAGATTTGCATGGGTAATAGAATTTTAGTTTACGGAATTATGCCATGATAGTGTATTACTAGTCTTAAATATTCCTTGATTTTGTAAAATCAGTCAGTCATTTGAGTGTGCCCTGTTTTTGTCTGCAGGAATTTTATATGGGCTGATTTAATCATATTAATGACAACTTATGGAGTACCTATGAATTTTGAATCATTTAATGGTAGAATTCCCTGAAAATAATTGTGGTGTTCATGTTGCAGGTCCTTCAAATAAGGCATGTGATTTAAATGTTGAAAGTGTTGTAATTATGGCTGCTTTGTTTGATGCCTTTGAATTTACTCTTTATGGTATTTTTTTCTTAAATATGATATTCTTGAATTTTTTTTGTTATTTTATTGACAAATTTTGCTTGGATTTTAGTCTTTTTTGTTGACAAAGGTTATGTTGGTGAGACAAATCTTTTATTGAAACTTAATTAACATATATATGTATGTGTGTGTGTTACTTCATCATTTCTCAAAGAATTCAATTTGTGTACAAGCCCTTGAGATTGCAAAGGCATAATTATTATAATTTGTGTACTTATATGGTGTATTTTAACTCTTTATATATAAGATGTTGGTATACAAACCATTGTAGAAATAGATCTTTTTGTTGTTAAATACTAAATCTATGCCTATGGTGATTCATGAAATAAATTTAAGCTTAACTTAGTTTGATGAGAATGCTACTAACTTTGTCATTGAATGGTTGAAAGTGGATTTCCATAAAGATTTGAATAATGCTAGAATAAAACAGTAAAATAACTGTGAGGAGGTTTGCAAGACATATTAAGGTTTTCTTAAGTGGTTTTGGCTCTATAGGCAATATGTTATTAAAGTTGTTTTTATTCCTCTAGGATACCCACTTCCAATAAAAATAGTAAAAAATAAACAAGTGACGTTTTGCTTCAATTTAAATTTTTATCTTTATTTTATTGGTTTTATTTGTATGATATTTAATGAAAAACATTTTTTTTGACTTATTTATCTGTTATGGCAATGACTTCAATCCTTTACTCCTCTCTATTACACTGAAGATAAACTCAAACAACCTAAGGTCGATTTATTTTTTTATTTTTAGTTACTATAATCTGTGAAATTCATAACTTTGACATGTTATTAACACTATATTTTGTAACTTTCTTTCTTTGAAGCTAACTAATATATACATGTTGTGTCTTCTAAGAAAAGAAATACAAGTTTTGGATATTAGATACAAGTGAAAAATTAGAACCACTTGGAAAAAGAAGATAGAAGAATAAAATTGTATATATAAAATAAATAAATGATTCTAATTTTAGAAACTCATTGATATCAAATGCGGTTTTAACTAAGATGCTAGGTCAAGAGTTATTAAACAAAATGTTGGAATATTTGTGTTTGTGAAATATTTAAGGAGGATTAGTTTTAAATGCTATCAAATTTCTTTCACATGCTAAAGTTAAGGGTTGTGCTATTACTGATAAATGATTATTTCCTTTGAGCATATCCTTGTAAGATAATTGTCACGAGAATCTATACTTATAATAAAAATTATCTCCAATTGAGCTTTAAACATCCATCTCAGCAATGTCTTAAACAAAAATGAAGGGTTAAATTTGGGAAGAAACATATTTAAGCTTTCAACATAACGCATGCCTAACACCTGTTTAATAAAAACTTATAAAGAGTCGCCAGGTTTGAGAATGACAAAATATAGAGTGAGAGGTATTTGGGACTCGCGGACATCATTCACTTCTCTATTTTTGAGGTATCTAGATAGAGTGCACTGTTTGGAGTTTCAGTTTGTTGAGCTGGTTTTATATGTAAGTTCTGTGATTTTTTTTGTTGATTCTTGTGAAACACTTGTCAATGAAGATGATCTTAACTCATATGAAGTTCTTTTGTAGTTATTGATCATATCTTGAATTCTTTTTTATGAAAGTTCATGCAAGTTCAATACTTGCATTAATTGCAAGGAATTTCTATTCAGTGTTTGTTCCACTGTTCTTCAGGTTTTCTGCTGCATTTTAAATATGCGTTTTAGTTCTTTACTTGTTCTTACAACTTCATTTAGATACAGATTCATTTGTGTAGCTTAGAGTTCCAAACCGTTAAGTATCACGCTGTAGTTTCATTTTCTGTTCATGCAAATTCAGTGCAGGTGGTAACTGCAAACATTTTCTGTTCAAGTGTTGCTCCACTATTTTTCAAGTTTTTTGCTGCATTTTAAATCTTCAATTAGTCCTATAATTGTTCATACAAATTTCATTTTAGATATAAGTTCATTTGTATAGTTTAGAGCTTCATGCTGTTGTGTAATGATGCAATTCATGTACGTGTTTGGTTCTGTTCATTGTTGATACATTTTCTTTACACTTTGGTTTTTGCATTTTAGTTTTTCATTTAATGCCTTTATCTAGTTCTTCATTTTGGATAAGTAAAGTTCTATTGATTCATCATTAGAAGACAAATCAACTTTAGCATTCAAGTTACTTCCTCGTTGCTACTGGTGTGACGTTTTACGGTTTAGTTTTGATTTCATGCAAGCTTTGATCTATTCTCTGAGCTTCTGTTTAGTGCAATTGTGACTTCACTAGTTAATATAGGTTGAACATTCGTTAATTAGTTTTCAGCTAGTGTACTCATTATTTTCAGGTTTCTATCTTAGCCACTGTTCTCTCTTAGCCTCATGCAAAAGTCAGTTTAGGATTAGTTTTGGTTGCATTTGAAATTTTAACTTCCATTTCATTATAGGCATCATTGCCAGTTTATATTAGATGTCATTTTCATGTTCCATAATTCTAGAATTTTAGGTAATATTTGTATGTAATTGTGTCACTGCCTTTCATACTCACTTTTTCATTTTGCATTTTATTACATGTTCTTGAATTTTTAGAATTAATCGTACAAGATTTAGTTGTCAATTTAGCTGTCAATTAGATTAATCATAGTGAAATTTTAATTGGAATTTTTTTTGGTTAATTTTTCCATTGCATTTTATTTTCATAGTATTAATTTCATTTTTTTTATGGTATGTTTTCTTATTTGATTTTAGTTGTTAATTTTATAAGAGTTACTTTTTTATAGATATTGATTGTTCAAATCAACTTTTGATAGGGTATAAGATAAAGGTACTTAGATTAAGAATATCTTTAACTAATCTTTGTGGGATTGACATTTAGACTTTTATAATCTCTAGTATCACTTGAACGGCCTGTGCACTTACAGGATTTTCCAATCAATTATTAACCAGTTAGTTTGCTAACATCATTCTTGGGTGTTTTGCTTTGCTCGCTAGAATAAACTTTTGAGAGATTGCTTGGGTCAACTTTCTCAAAATAAACGCCCAGTGGTCAAAGAAAGATGTTGAATAAACAACGGTTCCTTAATTCAGAAAGCAATCATTTGGTCTTAGGCATCTAATTTTCTTAATAGTGTTCAATTTCATTTCTTGGGTTTTAGATATATGTATGTATTTCAAATGAAAATGATGGGTTTTGAAGTGTTTTAGTAGAAAGTGAAGGTTTTGGTTGAAATAGAGATGATTGTATCATAAAATTAGCTGCCATTTTTCTTATGAGAAGAGAAGCAAAGCAAAAAAGTGTTTCAGAGTTTCTTAGAGATTCTGCTTTATAAAATTGAAGTTGTATGATGTTATTTAATCTAAGCAGCTACCCGATCGATATCTCTACCAGAAAGCTAATCCCTAGAATCTTTAATTTATTTTCTCCGTTTCTTGATCAATTTTTTCTCTCAAAAACTTTTGGATCCCAAGTTCACCGACAAGGCAAGTCTTTACCTTGCATGTTCTTTTTTTTTTTTTCCTTAAATTCTCTTTAATTGTTTCGATAAAGGTTAGTAGATTTTGCTGTTGTCGTTGAAGAACTTTGGTAAGTTCATAAAATCTTTCTCTTTGTCTTTGTTTCCTTTTTACATTATTTAAAATTTTATATTTCTTGGGTGATAGTAATTATTATTTTTTCAGGTGGCAGGTTTTAAATTATGCAAGGCTTAATCACAGTACAATTTTGTTTTTCAATTATTTGAAACCAGAAACTACTGTTTCAGGGTGGAGTCGTGTTCGCTTAAATGCTTCTAAAGTGTTAAAAAAAATCTTTTTGTTAATATTTTTAGTTTAAAAGTTGGGTTTTTTCATAAATGATCAAATTTGGAATTTTGTCAGATTGGGAAGGGATTGTCTAAAAACACGAAAGCACAAATTGGGTTTTCAACATTGGATTGAAGCTGTAATTTACTCTCCTCAATCCTTAGGCGTTTCACTTGAATAAAAAAAATATTCATTTCAAATTTTAGATTTTTTTGGATTATTTTATTGATTGAATCTAACTTTTTTTACTGTAGATTGATCCACATCGTCGCTACGGGCATAACTTGCATATTTACCACGAGGAATGGTGTAAAGCTGATGTTGGTCAACCATTTTTCTACTGGTAAGCCCTAACATGAATTGCAATTACTATTAATTTGAAATTTCCCAATGAAGGTGGTAAAAGCAATTAATTGCTCATGGAGTTTTTCGCTTGTGCTGTTTTATAGGTTAGATATAGGGGATGGCAAAGATATTAATCTCAAAGAATGCTCAAGATTGAAGGTTAAACAACAACGTATTAAGTATACTGGACCTGTATGTGCGTTCATATGTTAGATTTCTAGATTTAAATTTCTAATAAGGTGTATGAAATTGTTAATTCCAGTTGTTGTAAGATCCTGATGTGTGTGTGTTTTGTCTTTTGGTGTGGAAACAGTGAAGGAAATGGCATTATAAGCACATTGTTGTTGAGGGAAAGATTATCCATAAACAAACCAGGAAAGTACTGGATACAATCTAAGGATTGAAGGAGGGAAAATGCATATTTGTTATGAGCACCTCCAAGAAATTGTATGCCGACGAGGTAAGCATCTGACTCAGAACAGTCTCAAATTGCTTTTTACCATCCTCAGACAATGAAGTGTACACAACTAAAATACCCTATGGAAACAAACAAAAACAGAGCCACAATATTGCATTGTATTTTTGTGTGTAGTTTTGTTAAACCAGATGAAATACCATGGTACAAATTACTTTATTTCAATGTCTTATTCTTTTGTTTAAATTTGGATTATTTGAGAATTAAATTGTAATCTTATGTTTGCTTTTATTCCGTCTCGAGATTCATTATCATTTAATTTCTATTATTATCATCATCAATTTCCTTTTAATACTTAATGTGTAATTTACCAAAGTCCAAATCAAATTTCTTAATTGCCATGAAAGATGAAACCATTCTTTGTAGTACTGATTCTTATGTTGGTTAAAAATGGAAATGCCCTTATGTGATTTTATCTTTCTATTTAGGTTTGGGATTGGGCAAGAGTACACTTAGGCCAACAATGGATCATGCGTTGAATTTCTGATTTAGATAAAAAGAAAGTCTTTTGTACCTTAATCTTTCATGTATTCTTTTTGCTGTTAATTGAATCTCGATTTTTGTAAAAAAATACATGTCTTGTTACCATAAAAGCTTTTGATAAGTTTTCTTTTGTCACGATAAATTGCTGGTGGTATCAAAAGCATTAGAAGATATTTTTGTTGAATATGGTTTTGAGTCTTCTACATTTTATTTTATTGTTGTTGAGTGGATAGGATTTTGTTATAGAAGCTGTGGTCATTGCTAGAGTTAATGATGCCTAATCTTTTTGCCATTGAGGATGTAGGCTTGAAGAAGGTACTAAATGCAGAAGAAGGGGAGCTGATTGGTCGTATGAAGTCCATTTTGTGACCATTCATCTTGAGTTGCTTGAAATTAGATGTGATGCAGTAGCTCATCTCAAAGATACAATTGGTAGATGCTTTCTTACTCAGGTTTTTAATGAGATATTGAGTTTTATTTTATTATAGTTTGTAGATCAATGTTTGTGAAATTATTTATACTCATGGATTTATCTGGTTTCCAAATATATTTTTTTAAATGACTATAAAACCATCTTCTTTTCCTTTCATTGTGCCACGTGGCACAATTCCTCCTTCCAGATTTTTTGCTTATTCTATTCTTTTCCTTTATTATTATTATTTTTTTGTTTTCGAATAGATTTGTTAAAAATTTTTAAAGTTTTTTTAAATTTTAAAACTTTCAATTTTCTAGATGGGACCCACATTATCAAGCTTTTTTTTATTTTATTTAAAATTCATCATGGGAAAAATTTTTGTTTTGTACTGAGCTTAATTTAGGTGCTACATGGCGTTTTTCAAATTTTTTGATTTTTAAAATCTTTTAAAATTTTTTTATTTTTTTATTTATATATATTTAATATTTTGTTTTTGTTTAAATATTTAGAAGTAGGATCAATCTTATACTAATGTTTCTTGTTTTTACCCTTTTTTCTTTTTCTTTTTTTATATTTTTATAAATATTTTTTTAGATTTTATTTTTTTATGAGATTCACTTAGATACCAAAAGTATACTACTTATTTTTTTTACTTTTGATTTTTTTATTAATTTTTATATATTTAATAAATATTTTAAAGATTTTTAATTCTTTTTTGTATGATCTGCTGATAGCTAAGATTTGTCACAGGTCAAGTCATTTACTTTTTTTTTTATTTACTTTTTTATTTTTTTAATATTTGATGAATTTTTTTAATATTATAAAAATATTTTATTGATTCCTATTTGAAATTATTAATTAAAAAATATTTTTTATTCTTTATATTTTATTATCTATTTAATTTTGTAATTATATATATATTTTATTAATTAAGTTATTATTTATATTTTAATATAAGATATTAACATTTTAAACTTGATTTGTATGTTTATATGACAGCCTGATGATTTTTTTTCTTTTTTCTTTTATTTATTTATTTTTTCTTTTTTCCCTTAATCTTTTTTGACATTTAATTATTAAGTTATTATTTAATATTTTAATTTAATATATTAATATTATAAACTCAGTTGAAATGTTAATTCGTGCCCAACAAACCTCATTTTCCTATTTTTTTGTTTATTTTGTTTATTTTTTCATATTTATTTGTTTTTATGATTTTTAAATTAAATTAATTTTGTGAAAAAAATAAGGTCGATGGAAATGTTCTTGTAGCAACCCTAATTAGTTTTTTATGTTTCATATTATTTCGTTTTTAATTAAATAAATTTTAAAATAAAATGTGTTAATTTATAAAGATGTCAAAATAATTCAAACTCAACAGGTTTCAATCCATCACAATACCAATTCATCTATTAGATAAATTTTATTTTTGTACAAAGCCTAACTAAAGTGTCATATGGCATTCCTTAATTTTTTTGTTTTTAAATCATTTTTAATTTTTAGAACTTTTTTGTTGTTTTTTTTTATTTTTATATTATAGACACATTTATTTTCAGGTCTAATTAGGCTCATTTATGTCTATGCCCAATTAGGCCTATCCGCATTCGAGCCCAATTAGGCTTATTTGTGCCCAATTAGACGGTTTTTATTATTACATTATTATTGTTATTATTATTATTATTATTATTATTATTATTATTATTATTATGTTTTTTTTTCTTTCTTTGGTATTTTTGTATATATTATAATATTAATGTCACTATTATTATATTATTCTTATTATTATTATTACATTATTATTATTATTATTTATATTTATATTCATATTTTTTTTTCATTCTTTTCCTTTTCTTTCTTTGCTTTCCTTATTTGTTCAAATTCATATGGGAACAATCGGAATCAAAATCCCTTGTTCAACACAGAACCATATCAATGTGATCAAATATAATTTTGCACCCAAAAATCATGCTGGACAGAATGCAATCTCAAGATTCAAGCTTGGGATTGATTTTATCCGTTTTTTAAAATTATTCTTAGAATTGCCTATAAATTGAAATGATTTTTCACAGAACAAACACAGAAATTTAGAGAGAAATTATTAAGAAAAAATTTGAGAAAATTTTTTGGGCAGAAAGGGATCTGGGAGTTTAATTCGAGGATTTTGGGTTTAATTTGAGGTTGTGGGTTTGATGTTAGGTTTTTGGATTAGAATTAGGGTTCAGGATGATTCTAGGAGATTCTGGGGATAATCTGGGCAAAATTGGAGAAATCTTGAGAAAATTCAAAGAAATTTGGGTTTTTTTGAGTTTTTGGGAAGAACATAAATTTTTTTGTGAATTTTTCGATGAGCGTTTGAAGTTTCCTGCAAGATTCCAGCGAGATTTTCAAAATTTAAAAAGTTTTTCTAGAAACTGGTGGGTTTTTTAATTTTTGGTTGAATTTTTCAACGAAGTTTTCAGAAATTGATGAAATTTTTAGTTTTCGATTGAACTTTTTGATGTGTTCTAAGGTGAGTTTTAAAGAAAAGAGAGATCTTCTGAGGGTTAGAGAGGAAGGGAGCAGAAGGCATCTGAAGAAAAATGCTGAAAAGTGCCATTTATATCAACTTAGAATGACGTTGTTTTGGAAAGCCTTGACCCGTGGGTGACTTGATAGGGATCCACGCATTGACTTTGGTCTTGACTCGATCCGATTGTAGGTTTTTTTTTTCATTTTTTTATTTTATTTTATTTTATTTTTAAACCATTTTATTTCTTTTATTTTTTATATTATTTCTTTTTGGTTGTTTTTTTTTTTTGAAAAAATGTTACTTCTGTCATTTTATTTATGAAAGAAAAAAAAGAGAAAAAATAATTCTACAAAAAATAATAAATAATATAAAAAATCCTTTCAAATAAAAAAATGAAAATATTTTCAAATAAATAAAAATAATTCTTATCTTTTAAATTATTGGATGATTACTTTGAAGTGAATCTTACCAAATTATTGGGAGGTTTCACTAATTTTTTTAGAATAAAAATTAATAAATTCAACGACGGAGCCTCTTTAAAGTATGACACTAGTCTCCATGAATATTTATGAGGTGAGAATTATCTTAAATTGTTATCAAACTATTGGGACGATTTTAGCGTTAATTTTTAATATTAAATTATTTGGTAAATCATAAAAATAATCAAGGCTTGGATAATTCAAAATTAAACTAGTACCATCCTTTGAATAGACGTCGTGAGGGTGCTACAACTTTTTTCATGTATAATCTACTCTTGAAGCTAACATCTATTTTGTAAATCAGATTCAATCAGGTGATCAATCACACTTAAACAAAAAAAAGATTGGTGGTAACTTCATTTATCTATGTTTAAGCAATAGGTTACGGATCTATACATTATGATAGTTTGGTGACTCCATTGAGGGCCTTGAGAGTCAAGCCAATAAATGATTTCTTATTATCCAAGCCTTGCTTAATAAATTTGGAACTATCTCTTTTCATTGCTTATATATGCTTTATTACTTATTTTCATTTTCGTTGTGTATATTTGCCTAATTGTTTATTCGTTTATCTTTTTATTCATTACTTACATTTGTTATTTACTTATTGTCTATATTTGTCATTCATTTGCATGTGCATAACATAAGTCTTCTATCTGGGCTTTACCCTTAGGATGAAGTAAAGTATTTATACTCTCGTGAGATTTCATGTCTTTGTATGGGCTTACGAAATACTCCCATTCAAATTAAATCTTTTCTGTTTGTAGCTTATGATGGGTGAAGATTAGGGTGCTTTACTAGTCTATAATGGATCATGATGTAGGAAACAATTTGGGAACCTTTTAGAATTAACCCAAACTGTATATAGTTAACCTAGAAGCCAACCATAGATAGAGCCTTGTCCTCCCACCCTTTATAGTTAACTCAAAATCCAAGGGCATATTGTTATCTTAACTTACTATATGGTGTTTTAATTGCTTTATTGAAGTGACTAATCTTTGTCTTCTTTTATTTCTTTTCTTTTTTTGCACATTCATAAATACGTTTACAGATTGCATAGTATTTTACCTCAAAGCTATTTCAGCAAAAGCCCTCATGGATACAACAGAATGTCAGGTTTGTGCCTCATATACATTGTTCAAATATGACTCTCCCATAGATGTGAGGATGAAATTAGAAAAGAAGCAGCTAGAAGAGGGAGATTGCTTACCATCTGGTCATGTCCCAACATTATCAAAAGAAGTTTGCTTACTTATTAAACATAATGATCTGAAAAGCCTATAAGATGTATGGAATAGTATGAACCTTTCAAGACATGAGGCTTTTTGTGAGAGGTTTGGACATATTGCATATTTCTTATCAGTGAAGGTTGACCATTCACTTATCAAGGCGATGGTATAGTTTTGAGATCTTTCTTATTGATGTTTCATATTTAATGAGAGTGATTTAGTACTAAAATAAAGGAGTACTCAACTCTAGTGGGTATGCATCTACTGTATCCAGATAGAATATACATGAAGAAACATAAATTAGGAAGTTGCAAGAAGCTGGGTCAAATTCTAGGAGTAGGAAAGGAAGTCATAGATTCATACATCCGAAAAAAAAGAGATCACAAAGGTATTCCATGAGAGGTTCTCCAAGATTTCATTACCAAGCATTTAGATGATCAGGGAATGAATACATTTACTCTAGCCATATATGGGTTGGTCATTTTTCCTAACATTTTAGATCACATTAAGATAAAAGTGGTAGATTTATTTGAGCAAATTGAAAAGGGGTGTAATTTTTCACCAGTTATCTTGGCAGAAACCATCAGATCTTTGAATTTTTGTAAGTAGAATGACAAAACACATTTCATGGGCTACATACCTTTATTGTATGTACGGATGAAGAGCCATTTCAAATGCAAGAAAAGTGCATTTACCAAACTTTATTTTTGCACTCAAAGTTCGATTAGGGAGTTTTATCAAAGCATTTGGCCAAAAGCAAAGACTTAGAAAGAGTTGAAGTGTCTGCTGCAAGGGTTCACCGCTAGTCAAGTAAAATGGTTAGCTTTATGGATGGATAGGGTACCTATGTTGTATCAATGTGGAGTTAAGACAAGGGTCTCTCTTTTAGGCCTATGGGGGTTGATGAGTTATGCACCATTTATGGTAAGGAGATAGCATGGAGCCGAACAGTTTACTTTTATGACTTGCAAGCTTAGCTAGTTTGATTGTTCATATGGGGAGCCTGAAATTTTTCAAAAGATTGATAGCTTGATTAAGGCTTGGAATAAGCTTAAGAGAGTAAGCTTACGGCTATTCATTAATAGAGTCACTCAAGGGCATCTGATTTGGAGAAATAAAAAGGGTCAGGAAAGCCTATTTATGCCTTAAGATCATCACTTACCAATGGTTCAAGTGTCAGATAATAAGCTTTTAGAGTTAGAGTATGAAAGAGAGAAGGAGAAGCTAAAGCAAGAAACTTTGAAGCTATAAGAAAAAAAATAGTGGTAAAATAAAGCTAAAAAATTAGAAATCCAAGTCCATAGGATTTTCAAGGAATATAGCAAGGTCCAAAAAATTGTTAGAGAATAAGATGATACCCTTAAGGAGTTGAAAGAGATACGAAAGGCGTATAAGAGGTTACATATACAGGTACAAGCCAAAGAAATAAACAACACAGAGCTGGCTCATAAGAATGAAGAGTTGAAAAAAGAGCGTGCCCAATAGAAGATGACTTTATGGAGGTTAAACAGGAAAACCAAATGCCTGTAGATTACATTTTAACTCTGACATTGAAGCTGAATGAACAAAAAAATCATGTCAAAACCTTCATGAAAAAGCATAAAAAGTTATCCTAATAGGTGTGGTGCGACAAAAAAGCAAGGTTGGAAAGATAAAGATACATAGAGCCCCTCACAGCTCAGATAGGTAAGGTGTGATCAAAGCAAGTGAGATGGTAGAAAAGGTTGAGGCACTGAGAGTTTCGGTTACACCAATAGGGGAGCATGGATAGAGGTTGCTAAATTTCATTAAGGAGGCTAAAGATCAGTATGAGCAAGTTAGGTGTTTTTATAAAGGGATCGTATTAGATTTGATGTAAAATAGACTCCTGTGGAATAAATGAAAATTTTTTTTTGTTGAATTTTCTTTTAAAAGGGTAAATATTATTTTTTTTATTTTTCATGCATTTGCATCACACTCATTCATTCAATCATTGTCATAACATCATTATTGAATCTTCAATTGTGGTATTAAAGTATAAGAATAGCTACACATCCATATAATCCATATAATACTCAGGGTAAAACTAAGAAAATGGAGTAAAACAATGCGAGTCCTCTTGAAAAGATAAAAAAAAGCCCAAGAAGCACTTGAAGAAAAGTTGAGTAAACTTTTAAAAGCCCTGAAAAAAATAAATAGAGGGAAATCGATGGAAGATGATACTTCACAAGAAGCTACTGAATTAACATATCTCTTAGGCTTCAGTTTACAACAGAATCAAACTATCCTAATTTTCTAACCTTAACAAGTAGCTTTTTCAAAATACAATTACCCAAGAGTGACTTATGCATCTGGTCATAAGAACGTCCAAAGTTATGACAATCTTGTTTATGCTGAAAAGATAGCGAAACCCATTCAACTCCTTACTGCAGATGAATCAAAAGAGAAAGAGAAGCCACAAACAGTTATGCCCTTGGAGAATTTTAAGACTGATCATGCAATGAATAGGTTTAAGGAAAGATTGAGGGCTGTAGAGGGAATGGATTTTTTATGGATCTATGAATGCAATAGGATTTTGCCTAGTACCAAATGTGGTGGTGCCACCCAAGTTTAAAGTATCAAAGTTTGAAAAGTATGACGGTACTAAGTATCTTATTACACATATCACCATGTACTATCGTAAAATGATGGCACATGCTAGTAATGAGAAACTGTTTATGCATGTGTTTCAAGACAGCTTAACTAGATCTACAACGAGGTGGTATGTTCAATTAGATAGAACTCGTATAAAGATATAGAAAGATCTGACTCGATCTTTTATTAATCAGTATCACCATATCATTAACATGGTTCCCAATCATTTTTTCCTGCAAGCAATGGAAAAAAAGGCATCTAAATCCTTCAAGCAATATGCCCAAAGGTGACGGGATGTAGCTGACCAAGTATAGCCTCCCTTGATGGAAAAAGAAACTATTGTGTTGTTTGTGAGCACTTTAAAATCGCTCTATTATGAAAGAATGATTGGAAACGTGACAAAAAACTTTACTGATATAGTGATTTCGAGAGAGATCATCGAAAATGCCATAAAAAATAGTAAGCTTGAATGAGGTGAATCTTTTAAAAAAGCACCTAAGAAGAAGAAGAAAAGTGAGACTCACACTGTGAGCCTTGAAGGTTAGTAATTTAGACATTACTCTCAGCTTACCTACCCTACATACCATCACATAGTGAGCCATATTTTTACATCTTCTTACCAATCAACCACTCGACCATCTTATCCATATTCACCAAGATCCCTTCCTCACCCAATCAGCATTACAAGTAATGTCAGAGAAGAACAAACCAGGGAAAGACCCACTTTTGATCCTATACCTATAAGCTACATAGAGTTTTATCAAGAACTCTACAAAAACCATTTAATTGCTCTTGTTCCTGCCAAATAGCCTAAACTTCCTTATCCCAAATGGTATGATGTCACTGCCCATTGTGACTACCATTATGGAATAACGGGTCATTCTACTAAAAATTACCTTTAAAATAAAAAGTGCAGCATCTGATTAAAGAAGGGTTGATAAGTTTTGATACCAATGGGAGCTCAGCACCTATAGTAGGAATCTCTTGTCCAGTTATATAGTCAATGCCCTGGACAAAGATAAGAGGCATATAAAAAGAAAGGTAAAAGAGATTAAACTGCTTTATGATACCTTATACGAAGCTAGATTGATACAACCAATGACTCAATGCACCTACATAAGAGGATGCATCCCCAATCAAAGGTGTAAGTATCATAGTAGAGCTCAATGGCATTCTATTGAGAAATGTCGACAATTTCACTAAGGTGCAGAGATTAATAAACTTTTACCAAATAGAGTTATATGAGGAATTAAGAGCCTCAAAAAACATTAAGGTGGTTATGAAGATAGGTGGGTGTCAAAACTTATCACTATATGTTGTAAGGAGATGACACAATCAGTTGAGAGCAAGTTTGTTTCCAAACCAGTAGCTTTTAGAGTCTCACACCCATTTTCTTATAAAGATAATAAAGTGGTGTCCTGGAGATATGAGTGTGAGGTGACAGCTTAGGGGTAGCAAAAGGATATGCCAAAAGGTAAAACTGTCCATATAACGGGTGTACTGGGCATACCTAGAAGTAGAAGATGTTATACTCTGGATATTTTAGAAAAAGCAAAAAAAAAAAAGAAAGGATAAGCAAATTGAACCACAGATTCCAGGGAAATGTCTCGAAGTATGTGCCTAAAAATGAGGCCTGTGAATTTTTAAAGTTGATAAAACATAGTGAATATTCTGTAGTAGAACAATTAAATAAGATGCCAGTTAGGATTTTTCTGTTCTCACTCTTTTTAAATTTGAAACCTCATCGTAATACTTTGTTAAAGATATTAAATCAAGCTTATGTGGGCCATAATGTATCAGTGGAATATATGAATCACTTGGTAAGAAATCTAATGATGCCATATCATATCTCTTTTAATGATGATGAGATTCCACCTGAGGTAAAAAGAGCACTAAAGTGTTGCACATCACTGTCAAATGTAAGGGCTAAATAGTAGCTAAGGTCTTCATTGATAACGGATCAGCTACTAATGTCATGCCTATGTCCATTTTAACCAAGCTACCCTTTGATATGTCCCATATCTAAGACAGTCAAATGGTGGTCCGAACGTTTGATGAGACTAGGTGAAAAGTTTTGAGAGATGTTGAGTTATCTATGCAGATTGGGTTATGTGTCTTTAATATAAAATTTCAAGTTATGGATATCTTCTTATCATACAATTACTTATTGGGGAGGTCGTGGATCCACAAAGTAAGTACCCTTCCATTCTCGTTGCATCAAAATATCAAATTTAATGTGAAAGGACAGTTGGTGATTATGGCTGAGGAGGAAGATTTACTAGTGACCCAACCCATAAATATCTCATATGTGGAAGCAACAGAAGAATGATTGGAATGCTCTTACTGATCTTTTGAATCCGTTAATGTAGTAGGTGAAGGATTCAAGTTTAATCGGATCGTGATCAATTAGATGATTAAAAAGGGTTGAAGTATTGGGTTCGACTTGGGCAAAAGACTTCAAAGGATAAGAGAGCTCCCTAGGATTAAGGATTACAATTGCAGATTAAGATTGGGTTATGAGATGGAGGAATGGCAAGACAACAGCAAAAAAGTATAGAATGGGCTAATGATTTTCCCTCATTTAAATGAAACTTTCATACCTGGAGGATACATGCAAGAAGGCATAAAAGAAGAGCCAAAATGGGATGAAGATTTTACCAAGTTGTCCATTAACATGGTGGGTGATGAAAGTCAAAATGAGGAAGCTTTGGTTTACCATTACATGATTGAATATGAATTACAGAATTGGAGGGTCAGCTAAATGGCTATTGTTTTCGATTTTTCTTTAATGTAATCACATTTCCTAATCTCTTATGCCCAAAAGCATTGGGATGAACTCTTATGTTTGGGCTTTTTATTTTTCATTATTTCAATAAAAGTAGGAGCATTCATTTTTCTTCTATTCCATTCATTACTCAATCAAAATTTCTTGCCAATATTTTCCACTTTATTTTCAGGTCCTTAAATGAATATGAAGATAATCATGACAATAATTCAGGGTTTAATTTTAAAAATTTGATTAATACTGATGAGCTTGATACTGAAGAGGACTTTGAGGAATATACTTTGTCACCAGATTTAATGAGGCTAATTGAATAGGAAGATAAATCCATTGAGACTTATCAAGAAGTTATTGAATTGATCAATTAGGGTGATGCTGAAAATAAAAAAGAAGTCAAGATTGATACTTCACTTTTAACAGTTGATTGGTAGTGGTTAAAGGAGTTGCTTCAAGAATTTGTGGATGTATTCGTCTGGTACTATCAAGATATGCCTGCACTCAGCATTAAGATAGTGCAACATAGGCTACCATTAAAGTCAGAATGCAAATCGGTGTAGCGAAAGCTAAAGAGAATGAAGCTGAAAATGCTGTTAAAAATCAAAGAGAAAGTTAAAAAACAGTTTGATGCAGGTTTTTTGCAAGTGGCAAAATATCCTGAATGGGTGGCTAATATTGTACCTATCCTCAAAAAAGATAGAAAGGTACAGATGTGTGTAGACTATAGAGATCTGAACATAGCTAGCCCTAAAGATAACTTTTCTTTGCCTCACATTAATACTTTGGTAAATAATACAGCCTGACATTCGGTATTCTTTTTCATGGATGCATTCTCTAGTTATAATCAAATAAAGATGACCCGAAATGAAATGGAAAAGACCATATTTATCACTATGTGAGAAACTTTTTGCTATAAGGTTGTCTTTTGGACTAAAAAATACTGGGACAACTTATCAAAGAGCTATGGTAACATTTTCATAATATGATGTATAAGAAGATTAAAGTGTATGTTGATATGATTACCAAATCTCGAAAAAGAGAAGATCATGTGGTTAATCTTAAAAAATTATTTAAGAGGTTGAAGAAGTTCTAGCTTAAACTGAATCTAACCAAATGTACATTCAAAGTCAGGTCGGGGAAGCTGTTAAGATTTATAGTCAGTAAAAGAGGGATAGAAGTGGATCCAGACAAAATTTAATCTATCCATAATTTATCTTTGCTAAGCACATAAAAAGAGGTTTGAGGTTTTTTGGGCAAATTGAACTATATATCCTGATTCATTTCTCAACTCACTCTTAAATGTGACCTCATTTTCAAATTTTTTTGAAAGAATAATCCTAGGGAGTGGAATGAATAATGCCCAAAAGCTTTCGGTAAGATTAAGCAATACTTATCAAATCTTTCAATATTAGCACCTTTGTTTTAGGAAAACCATTGATTCTATACATTATGGTACATGAGGGATCAATGAGATGTGAGCTAGGCCAATAAGATAAATTTGACAAGAAAGAGAAAGCTATCTATTACTTGATCAAGAAATTTACAGAGTATGAGTCCAAGTATTTATCACTGAAAAAAATGTGTTGTGCTTTGGCTTGGACAACTAAAAGATTCAGGCAATATATGCTTTACCATACGACTTGGCTCATAGCTAAATCAGATCCCATCAAGTACATCTTCAAGAAACCATCACTAACAGGAAAAATTGTAAGATGGCAGATGATGCTTTCTGAATACGACATAGTATATGTGAGCCAAAAAGTAATCAAAGGAAGTGTCATTGCTGAATTCTTGATGGACAGGGCCACTAATGATTATGAGCCCATGAAACTTGATTTTTCAGATAAGGAACTAATGGGCATTTTAGAGTTAGAAGAAGATGATGAGGGGAGGTATGTAAAATGTATTTTAATGGGATTGCCAATGCCATGGGGCATGGGATTGAAGTAGTTTTAATATCTCTAACTGAGCATTACTATCCTGTCATAACAATATTGAACTTCAACTGCACTAATAATGTAGCTAAATATGAGGTTTGTGTTATGGGATTGTATGCTGCTTTAGACAAAAAAATTGAAACATTAAGGGTGTTTGGGGATTCAGCTCTAGTCGTTTATCAACTAAAAGGTGAATGGGAAACAAGGGATTTCAAACTCATCCCTTACCATAAATACATCTTAGAGCTGTCTAAACAATTCAAAGCAATTTAGTTTGAACACTTGCCTCGTGAAGAAAACTAGATTGCAGATGCCTTGACTACTTTAGCGGCAATGGTATGGATCGGTGATACTGTTGAAATTTAGCTTATCAAACTAAATATTAAGGACATGCCAGTACATTGTGTCAATTTAGAAAAAGAGAAAAATGGTCGCCCCTGGTGCCATGATATTATACAATATCTAAAAAATTAATAGTACCCAGATCTAGCAATAGAAAATAACAAGAGTTTTGTGAAGATTGGCTATGAGATTTTTTTTAGATAGGGAAATTTTGTATAAAAAAGGCAAAGATCAAGTGTTATTACGCTGTGTAAATACCTTTAAAGCAAAAAAGATTGTTAAGAAAGTTCACAACGACGTATGTGGAGCGCATACAAATGGACATATAATGGCAAGATAAGTTATGCAAGTTGGATATTACTAGTTGACAATGGAAAAAGATTGCATTGATTATGCTAAAAAAATACCACAAGTGCCAAATTTATGTTGACAAGATTCATGCTCCACCCAGTGCTTTACATGTTATAGTATCCTCTTGGTCATTTTTTATGTGAAAAATGGATGTCATTGGTCCCATTACCCCAAGGCATCAAATGGGAATAGATTCATTTTTGTGATGATTGATTACATCACTAAATGGGTCGAAGTTGCCTCTTTCACAATTGTGACTAGATCAATGGTCTGTAAGTTCACCAAAAGAGAAATAATTTACAGATATGGGCTCCCAAAAAGAATCATCTCAGATAATGTTAAGAATTTAAATAGCAAGATGATGCAAGAAATATGTGTTCAGTTTAAGATCAAACACCATAATTTAGCTTCATACTGCCCAAAAATGAATAAGACAGTAGAAGCTGTAAATAAAAATATCAAAAGAATTCTAGAGAAAATGACAGAAACATATAAAGATTGGCATGAAAAATTATCTTTTGCTCTACATGCATATCAAATTTTTGTACGCACTTTTACTAGGGCAATTTTTTTTTCTGGTTTATGGAATGGAAGCTGTACTGTCAATAGAAGTAGAAATCCTATCGTTAAGGGTCTTAAGGGAAGTGAGATTAGAAGAAGCTGAATGGATTCAGGAGCATTATGTGTAATTGAACTTTATTGAAGAGATGAGATTGATGGTTCTTTGCCAATGAACAATTGTACCAAAGGAGAATGATAAAAGCTCATGATAAAAAGGTTAGACTTCGTCAGTTATGAGAAGGAGAGTTGGTATTGAAAAGAATTTTTTCAAGTTAACATGATGATAAAGGGAAATGGACCTCGAATTGGAAAAAACCATATGTTGTAAAACAAGCCTTTTCAGGAGGAGTTTTAATTTTGTCAAAAATGGATGAAGATGAACTTCCTAGTCCTATTAACTTTGATATAGTGAAGAAGTACTTTGCTTGAAAAAAAAGAAGAAAATAGGTTCAAGTTAAAAACCTGAGAGGACGGCTTGAACCAAAAAAAAAAAAAAGAGTTCAAGTTGAAAACCTTAAAGGGTAGCTTGACCTAAAACAAAAAAGTTCAAGTTGAAAACCCGAAAGGGCTGCTTGGATCAAAATAAAAAAGTTCAAGTTGAAAATCTTAAAAGGTAACAAGAATCGAATGAAAGCAAACTCAGGTGAATGGAATATGGCATCATTTGGGAAGGCATATTAGGGGTAGTGAATTTCAAAGAGCTTTGAAATGTTAGGGCATCATATTTTGAGTTTTTGAAAGAGATCCAAGATTTGTTGTCATTGTTATCTAATCATTTAATTTGGGGCATTACTACCCTAAATAATCGCTTTTAAATACTCTCTTTATACCATTATTTGTAATTTATTACTTATCTTGATAAATGAAAGCCATCTTATTGTGCTCTTTTAGTTCTATACATTGTCAATATATTTGTCCTTTTTCTTTATACCTTGCCATGAATAGAAAAAGTGCATAAATTACATTTCATATTATAAAATTGGGATAATGATTAATAATTAAACAAAGTCATAAGCAGTTGTGTGCTGCTTGGGAGAATTAAGGGAAATAAGGACAAATGATGAATGCCTTAAAAAAAATTAACTGCTATAGTTTTCCTTGAGAAGAAGATAAACAATCAGGGTAATGAAAGATGATATCCTCATCAAAGGTGTGCAGAAATAAGAATGCAGAAGCTTTAGTACTACAATTAATGTTTCATTTGCATCATAGATAGGGCATGCATTTACATTATCCATTAATCTGATCTTAACTCCGCCTAGATCATTTTGATTCATGGTTTCATCTCAGTCGCTTGATCTTAGCTCAGTCCAGATCATTTCTTATGATTCATGACTTTGTCTCAGTCATCTGATCTTGACTCAAGTTAGATCTTTAGACTTGTCATCAGTCCGATTATTTATTTATGACATCGACTCGATCTTGATCACCTTCAGATTTATGGCATTATCCCAGTCATCTGATCTCGACTTAGGTCAGATCATATTCAGACTTGCGACATTAGTCTGGTCATTTATTTATGACCTCGACTCGATCTTAGTCACCTTCAAACTCACAGTATCATCTCAGTCATTTGATTTTGACTCAGGACAGATCATTTTCAGACTCGTCACATCAGTTTGATCATTTATTTAAAATCCTTAGTCTTGGTCAACTTCAGACTCGTGGCATCATCCCAATCATGTGATCTCGACTCAGGTTAGATCATTTTCAAACTCGCAACATTAGTCTGGTCATTTATTTATGACCTTGACTCGATCTTGGTCACCTTCAGAGTCACAACATCGTCCCACTCATCTGATCTCTACTTAGGCAGATCATCTGCAGACTCACGACATCAATTTGATAATTTATTTTCAACCTCGACTCGATCTTGGTCACCTTTAGACTTGCGGCATCATTCCAGTCATTTGATCTTAGCTCAGGTCAAATCGTCTTCTAACTTGTGGCATTATCCCAGTCATCCGATCTCAATTTAGGTTAGATCACTTTTAGACTCATGGCATTGTGCCAATCATTCAACCTTGGCTTAAGTTAGATCATTTTACTTTTGACACAAGGTTTAACCTCGATCAATTTGACTCGTCGATTTGACTTGAATAGAGTGGGTGTCTAGGTCTTTACATCATCTTTGTCTAACAAAGATATTCAAAAAGGGGTAGCTGTAGACACCTATTTATGTTCGGGTCCAATTAGGCCCATTTATGTCTGTGCGCAATTAGGCCTATCCGTGTCCGAGCCTAATTAGGCTCATTCGTGCCCAATTACACAGATTTTATTATTATTATTATTATTATTATTTTCTTTTCTTTTCTTTCTTTGGTATCTTTGTATATATTATAATATTAATGTCACTATTATTATATTATTGTTATTATTATATTATTATTATTATTTATATTTTTATTTATATTTATATTTTTTTTCGTTCTTTTCTTTTTCTTTCTTTTCTTCTTTCCTTTTTTGTTCAAATTCACATGTGAACAATCGAAATCAGAATCCCTTGGTCAATACAGAATTATGTCAATGTGATCAAATGAAATTTTAGACCCAAAAATCACACTGGACAGAATGCAATCCCATGATTCAAGCTTGGGATTGATCTATTCGTTTCCTAAAGTTATTCCTAGGACTGCCTATAAATTGGATTGATTTTTCAGAGAAAAAACACAAATATTTAAAGAGAAATTATTGAGAAAAAGTTTAAGAATTTTTTTTGGCAGAAAGGGTTCTAGGAGTTTAATTCAGAGATTTTGGGTTTAATTTGAGGCTGTGGGTTTGATTTTAGGTTTTTGGATTAGAATTAGGGTTCAGGACGATTCTAGGAGGTTTTGGGGATAATCTAGGCAAAATTTGTAAAAATTTGAGAAAAATAGAAATCTGGGTTTTTTTGGATTTTTGGGAAGAACATGAATTTTTTAGTGAATTTTTCGGTGATTGTTTGAAGTTTTCGACGAGATTCTTGTGAGATTTCCAAAATCCCATAAGTTTTTCAAAAATCATGGGTTTTCCAAATTTCAGTTGAATTTTTCAACAAAGTTTTCAAAAATCAATAGGATTTCTAGTTTCGGTTAAACTTTTCGATGTGTTCTAAGAGGAGTTTTACAGAGAAGAGAGAGCTTCTAAGGTTAGAGAGAGAGGGGGCAGAAGGCATCTGAAGAAAAACACTGAAAAAGGCCATTTATACCGACTCAAAATGACGCTGTTTTGGAAAGCCTTAACCTACGGGTGACCCAACAAGGCTCTGCGTGTTGACCTTGGTCCTGACCCGACTCGATTGCAGGTTTTTTTTTTTCATTTTATTTTTACTTTATTTTTAACCCATTTTATTTTCTTTATTTTTTATATTATTTCTTTCCGGTTGTATTTTTTTAAAAAAATGTTATTTCTATCATTTTATTTATGAAAGAAAAAAAGAAGAAAAATAATTCTACATAAAATAATACACAAAATATCCCTTCAAATAAAAAAATAAAAAAATATTTTTAAATAATATCATCTAAACTATTAGAGGATTGCTTTGAAGTGAGTTCTACTAAACTATTGGGAGGTTTCACTAATTTTTTTGAAATAAAAATTAATAAATCTAACGACGGAGCTTTTTCAGAGTGAGACACTAGTCTATACGAATACTCTTGAGGTGAGAGCATTATCCTAAATTGTTACTAAACTATTGGGACGATTTTAGGATTAATTTTCAATATGAAATTATTTGGTAAATCATAAAAATGATCAAGGTTTGGATAATTCGAAATCAAACTACTACCATATTTTGGATGGATGTCGTGGGGGTGCTACAATTTTTTTCATGTGTAACCGACTCTTGAACCTAACATCTATTTTGTAGATCAGATTCAATTATGTGTCAAATCATACCTAAACAAAAAAAGATTTATAACGACTCTTTTTATCCATGTCTAAGTAGTAGGGCAATGATCTGTACGTTATGACATATATTTAATAAATTTTTATTTAAATTTTTAAAAGTGGGACCCATTTTATACCAATCTTTATTTTTAACCTTTTTTTTTCTCTTTTACACTTTTTATACATTTGTTTTAGATTTTAAAATTTTGGACCCACTTAATACTAAAGTTATGCAATGTATTTGCATTTGTTTTTTTTTTCTTATTTTCTATTATTTTCTTTTTTTATATATTTAATAAATATTTTAAAGTTTAAAAATTTTTTTGTGTGACCCACTTGATACCTAAAGTACGTCAAGTGTTAAGTTATTTACTTTTTTTATTTACTTTTACTTTTTCTTTTTTTTGCCTTTTAATTTTGACTAATATATTTTAATGTTATAAATTTTTTTTAGTGATTCTTGTTCGACATTATTGATTAAAAAATAGTTTTTGTTATCTATTTAATTTTACATTTATATATTTATATTATATTGATTAAGTTATTAATTGATAGCTTAATTTAAGATATTAACATTATAAACTCAATTTAGATGTTCATATGGCAATCCGATAATCTCTTTTTTTTTTCTTTTTTTTTTCCTCTTTCTTTGTTTATTTCTCCTTTTTCCCTAATTTTTTTTAATTTTTAATTAATTAAGTTATTATTTAATACTTTAATTTAATATATTAATATTTTAAGCATAATTGGAATGTTATGTTTTATCCTAATGAGCTCTATTTTTTTTTTTTGTTTTTATGGTTTTTAAAGTTAAATTAATTTTGTTAAAATATAAATTAATGGAAATGTTCACATGACACCCTAAATTAGCTTTTTATGTTTCATTTTTTTATTTTTTAATTAGATAAATCTAAAATAAAATGTACCATTTCGTTCTATTTTTAACACTTGTACATTTTTTATTTATTTTTACTTTTTACTTTTTATTTAAAAGTTTTCAAATAATTATTTTTATAAGATAAAATATTACTTTTTAAGTATTTATTAACAAAATTATTATTTGACATAAAAATAATTTAATAATAATGTAATTATTTATTAATTTTATTTAAAATAAATTTAAAAAATTAAAAAATTCGTAATATACCATTTTAAATTTAATATTTATGATGATAATTTTTTTCTTCTACAATTATCTCATCGTCATCGTTATTTTTACATTCAAGCATATATCTTGCCACTAAAACATTACAATAACTAATATTACTTTTATTATTTTTTCAATCTTACAAAATTTAATTCACCGCAATCCAAATGCATCCTAAGTCATATTATTTTGGGTCTTAAATGATCAGTTGGGCTTAGAATAGGTTTTAAACCAAAATCAAAACCTATTTTCTTTTTTTTTTTTTAATGTTATTTCTATTCTCTTATTATCATTTTGTTATTTATTTTCTAGAAATATAAAAAAAAGAAAAAAAATAGAAAAAAAAAACTAAAAAAAAGTAATTGGATTAGGAAAATTTGAAGGAAAGTTTTGAATCAAAGTTTTTGACAATGCAATTAGAAAAGCGTATAAATTTTTTTTTTCTTTCAACTTTCAAAATCTCATGTCAATCTGTTAATCTATTTC